CTGGATCTCTGTGATGTGAATCTGTGATCTTGCAAGAAGGCTGCTTAGTAGTATGCTCCTTTTCATTAAATTTGCCAATCCCCGTGTTTTAATTTAGGCAAAGATGGTGGTGATGGGGGGGTGGACTATACCCATACCCTGCTGTTTTTAATTACAGACATCCCCCTGCCTCCACTACACGCAGACCTTTATTGCAGCTATCAGAAACTCTTTGCTGATTGATATGACGGTAGTGCTGTCACTCTTTAACATGCACACATGGGGGAAAGGAAAAAAAAAAGAATAAAATTGTCGCCTTTTTTGTTCAGCGTGTTTTTAATAGAGTCCCATTAAAGCTGCATCGCAGAGTGAAATATCGGTATGAAGAGCCCTTACTGAGCTGAGGCCGGGAATTAAGAAGTCAGGAAATGGGCTCGGCTGCTATGCCGGTGAGCCTTGTGTGACACACAATCTCCTGATTGGGGAGATCATTACTGCTATTATGATTCGACTCGTGGAAGAATTTTAAATTCCATCTGAATGTCAGTAATAACCCTCTTAGCCAATTATCCTGAATAAAATCACGAAGGCATTTGATATAATAGGTGTTGAATTACTGAATAGATTTGCTAATTAAATACTCTTTGTTCTGCTGCAGTTGACATTACAGGGTAAGATCTCGAACAATTATTCTCAACAGCTGTACTTTGTTAAGGAGGAAAAAAAATTAAGCATAAAGTTTATTTTTATTATATATTTTTTTATCACTTTAAGTTGGCACATTTTTAAAATACGCTTCAAGTAGGAGGAGGGGGCGAAATTCCATCATCCAATTGACAGTGGTAAGATAAATATGCAGGTGTTGCTGTAAAATGAGATAACTGCAGAGCTGACTTATTAATGAAACTTGTAAGTCTTTTATAACCCCTTTGTGTGTTAGCTGTCGCCACTTCCAAGTGATCCCCTGTCAGATTCCCTGGAATTAGATGTGTGTCTGTCGTTCAGGGAACCTAACCTGTCAGTGGTAGCACATGGATGCAACAGCAACTGCAGGCCTTTTTTAAACTACACCTAGGCCTGGTCAAGTATGTTGTACTTCACTTAAATGCTCCTAATTAATAGGCAGGATTTACTCCTAAACTGTCCTGTTGATTTTGTTTTTCCTAGCTTCTGGCAATCACGATGAAAGCTGAGGAGATAAACATTTTAAATAGTGTGAACAGATTGCTGCAGAATACACTTTTTATTTTGATTTCCTTCTTTGCCTACAACATTATGAAGTATTTCAGTGGATCAACTTGGACCACCCCTGATGAGTATTTTAAAGGCGGATTCATTGTTTATCTCCACTGGCCATAGAACATTTCCCCCAATTATATATAAGGAAAATAGTCATCAGATTTTCATGCTTTTACCCAGCTCATATTGAAGAATTAAAAAAAAAATAAAAATAGAATGTATGTGGTCTTTCCTTTTAACTCATGTCAAAACTGAAGAGAATTGAACCATGGAAAAAATGGCCTTACCCTCATGCAATAAAAGCTCTCCCTTCCCTAATCTCCTTTTTACAAATTAAGCTGGTAATCTGTTATGGAGGTGAGCACAATTTTTTTGCAGGGGTTAAAGACCTGCTCATTATTGGTGGTCTAATTTGTCCAGATATGATGGCCATTATAGAGCCTCACTCCTGACTAAATGGGGGAGTATAGTTAGGTTTTTCTTTGATTTATTATGAAGTTTGATGAATATGTGTAGCTGCTCTTAGAACTCCTCACTTTACTGAGTTATTTCACTTGTGTTTGATATTGGCTAGTTTTTGCGCCATCTGCAGATAGCACTCTTTATACAATTAAAATAAGCTGAGAAATATACACTTCTCCAAAAGCACTTGTGTTTTATATCCTACACTCGTGGGTTTTGTTGTTCTTAGGAAACATTGTGTATTTTTTGTAGTTACTTGGTTTTCATCCACAGTGAATTTGTAAATGGCCAAGTTACCATTTTGGTTTGGCCTTTGCATGTTGCTATAGCAAGTCTGTGTGTAGCTAATGAGTACAAGCAAACAAAATAATTACATTGTCAAATTAAGCTTATGCTTGAGCTGTGTAGTCTCGCTGCATGGACAGAATGAGAGCCCCGGCAATATTGTATGAAGCCGACCGTGCCTCACCTCATTGCGCTTTATTGCACACTGTGTTTTTGGATTTGATGTAAGAATGAAGCCTTTTAATTGTGGATCTGGCATCACACAGCCAAACAATAGAGCAAATGGCACAATGTTGGTATTTGTGAGAGCATAAATAGTTTTGAATGTGATGATTTGTTTTGCAATCAGTCCCATATGGTTCTCTTGAATAAATCAATCTGCGCAACATCCAGCAAGTAACAATACTTCAAATTAGACAGAGGAAAAAACTAAAAGCCTACCTACTAATAAGGGTGACGTATATATTTTATAGAAGGCACTTGTGGCAAGAAGACTACAAGAGATTTAAATGAGAACAAATAGGAAGAAAATGTTTGTTTCTGGCTAAATGTTTTATGAAATTCTTATTAGACAATTATCTGCATTTCCTTTGTTTGAGTTCTTTAGTGGCAGCTGCGCTATCATTTACAGTTGTGTTTCCCGTCCTCTGAATAGGAGCACGTTGCGCTTTATATCCATCGCCCACCTCCCTGTGCTTTCCCTCAAGTTTGCGCTTCAGCTGCCTACATTTTTTTGTGTGCACCCCTTAGCTTTGTGATCATTGGTTCAGCACCTGCAGGTTTAATTGTGTTTAATTGTGTTTGTTGCATTTGCAGTCCCCCCCACCCCCTTTTTTTTTTATATCAGTAGTTTATTGAATTTTAACTGTTTTGAGTAATTCAATGGCATGGTTTATGTGCCATCAAGCTCTCAAACTCCATGTCCTCTTCCTAAAACAAAATGGCATCCTAATTCTGTATAATTTGGTTTGTTATAGAAATTGAATGTCATATTTGTACATGAAAATGTTAACTTGCTAAAGTACTTTGTTTTGATGGTGAATAAGAGCCTAAAGTACCCTAGTCATGAGAGAATTATGTAGGCCACCTTTGCTGACCTCTCCTTTGGCAGTCATGCTGATTTTCTTTGGCTTTAATGCTTTAAAGCCAATTTCCACCTTTGTAACTGGCTGGCATTTATTGTCGTAATGTAGTTGTGCAATGATGATGTATATGTGTGCACATTTTCATAACTAACTTTGCTGGCTTTTTTTTTTCAATAGACATTTTAGTGGGCTAGAGTCCTACAAATTCAAATTTCCCTGCACAAAAAACTTATACAGGCAGTGAAGCAGCTGAGGACTTCCTCTCTATGTCCAGGGGCTGTTGCCAATATGAATATTATTGAATGGGGGAAAGCTCCATTTCCAAAGAGAAGCTTATGCTTGAGGGAAGCATAGCATTGTGGGAAATGTAGTTTTCCATGCTCTACATTGCAGTTCCCACTGTGCACAGCAGACTGTAATTTACACAGACTGCCTGCAGAGCATAGAGGCGGCCATTTAAAAGGTAGCTATGAGGAGATGGACTGCTAACAAAAATGTAAGTTTCTGTGTTCATATACAGCAACTGCGTATGCCTGCTTCATGTAAACTCTGTGTACATTGCTGGCATGTGTTTTTTGTTTGTTTTGTTTTTAATACCTCCACAAAGGTGGAAATAGGCTTTAAAGAGGATAGCCTTGAACAAGTATAAAGATCAGGAGTTGATAAAGAATATACAAAAAAAGATCAGGAGTTGACACTTTGACACATTTGCAACATGCTTGTTCTTTCACTCAGAAGCATTGAAGCCAGACACATCCATGAGAATAGCATTGTGGGAAATCTAGCTGTTAGGCAGGTAGTGGGTGAATTCACATAGAATTTAGGAACTGGGATCGTTTTTAAGGTTCCAGGAGACATGTCGGTTCATTCTTATCACCTAAAAAGGTTCAAATTTACTCCCAATAGTTTTTTTTTTGATCATGTCGGCTCTCCAAGCATGTTCTAAGATCTCTATAATGGACTTTTTTTTTTTCTTAACTTCAATGGCAGAAACCTCTTTTCTCTTGGTCCATGTCATTGCAAGGAACTGGCTGACATCACTAAAATTAATTGCCCCTCCTAGTGAAAGTACAGTTGCCTTTCTTGCTTTTGAAATATCTGTTGAGCTGTATCTCATTTTTCTTTTTGCATAAGATGTGTAGTTATGAGCGTTAGCAGCCTCATTTGGCTGAGCATGACCACAATCGCCTACCCCCCCACGCCTCATGGCCTTTAACAACAAAACTACTACACTCAAAAGAGAGGCAATCGTTTTCCTTTCATGAATAACCAGGTGGCCTCAGATGAGTGTAGCTGTTTGTGAGGATCAATTCTCAACCTATATTCTATTGATCACGTTTCCTATTTTTACAGGAGAAAAAAAAAAGCAAACATGATTTTTGTCATAATTTTCGGTTGCTAGAGCAATGCAGTAACCTTTTCTAACTGCATCCAGTGTACTACGGCCATTAAAAGCTACTGGCCTTGCAGAGGCTTTGCATCTTTTTCTTTTTTAATTAGGAGCTAATGAAAAGCGACTCATAAGATGTTGGCACATATGGTAGTGGCTAAATGGGCTAGTTAGACTGTTGCAGTCTAAATCACGGGCTTTACAAATAATAGTTATTAAATTATGGCTGAAGTTTGATGTTTTGCCTAATGCCAACAAGTTTTAGTTCAGCAATGCTGTGGCAACAAGTTTTAGATTTTGTTTTTTGTTCATTTTATTTTTTATGGTTTAGTTTTGGTGAGCTTTGTGTTTTCTAACATAAGATATAATTTTTCTATGTAGGATCATAAAGGTTGTAGGTAACAATGTAACATGGTATTATAGCAAAGTTGGATTTTGTAGCAGCTTTACACCATTGAAAACACATGTATAGCATAACCTTTTTTTTATATACTTTTTTATGTTTTTATACAGTATGGCAAGTGGCCATTTCACTAATGTTATCTGTTTGTGCCTCCTAGATTCTGCTGCATACCAAGGAGATGGTTCAGAAGGTAAGTATGCTGCCTGCTATGTGTAGTTTTTGTTTCCTATGCCTGCCTTTTCTTTCTCCTTTTTAATCTGCTGACAAAAACAAACATAGAAAACAAAAAAGGCCGCACCTGGCGAAGTTGTTGTGCATTACAAAACTGTAACCCAAACAAACCGGAAAGCGGTTCTCTTCGGATGCCTATTTACCAATGTAATCCTTCCTAATGGATTATAGCTTCATTCTTTCTCTAACACAGATATGATGGAGCGCTGCTTGAAGCCTGCATGCGAGTCTTTCCAGCAAATTAGCAACAGTGTTAATTAGAGTTTACTTGCAGCTCCGCTATATTGTATGAGCTGCAGTGTTGTGTTTATTATGATTGTTTTTCTGGCTCCCTTCATCTTCAGTTAAATAGTTACAGCGTTATATACTATTCTGAGCGTAAAATATGCACTTTTGTCTGGGGCTTAACTCCTGACAGTTAAATTCTCTACAGAAAGATCATTTGTTTTTGTTTTTTCTATCCCTATTTATTTGTACCTTTTCAGACATATGTTGAGATGCCTATTCTCACGCAGTACTATATTTATGATTTTTTTTTTCCCAGCTTGGTGGGTGTATACATACTTGACTAGTTCAATAGGCTTGGATAAAGAATTGGTGGAGCACAATTGTACATTGCATTGTGTTTCTTTAAAATAAGATTATGATAGTTGTTGATGTACTTGTGTTCCTATGGAGATACTTGTCCGGGAGTTCTGCAGTTTATGTATTAGGTCTTCAGTTGCTGATTAATGCATACTACTTAAGGTAGCAGTGTTGAAACAAGGGTTGTCTTAATTAAGAGGTAGTGGAAATTAAAGAGTCTAGCAATCCTTGGCCTTTGTCATGTCAGAAACTGCTTGCCATCCTTGGTAAAAAAAAAAAAAAGCACCTTTTGTAATATAGATCTTTTCTTCAGCTGAAATACTAAACCACATTTAGTAATATACTTCATAATGAGCAGTGTAGAAAATTACATTTGGAGTAGAAAAAAAGGCAATTCAAATGGAGAACATAATGAAAAATACATAGGTAGAGGTTACCTTGTGTGAAAACCACATGTTGCAGTGAGCAGTGTGTACAGGGGACGTTTTATGCAAATCTTAACTTTTATATAAAGTTAATCTTAGAATCTTGTTCTTCTGCTTCCAGAACCTTGTTTGGTTAGCAATGCTACCCATGACTTCAAATACACTGCTGTTGAGGCGTGTGCAGTACCTTAACGCACGTTGCATGTGTTAGCATGTTATGGCCCATTCATTTTAAATGGCACCCTAGTACATTAGGGCAACACAGCGCATGGTAACACACTACCCTGCTTTGTTTTGCACTGTCAGAAAAATGGTGGGGGTGTTTTCTTCTACTGGTGCATTTGCAGCCCATTCAAATGCCTTAACACGTTGACGTGGCAGACAAAAAGGGGTAGAATGGCATGATGGCAATTGGCCCTAAAGGACTCCTAGGGTAGCTAGGGATGTTAGAAGGAAGTGGTCTGAGTATGACTTTTCCTGAAGTCAAGATTTGCACAAATCATCATCTTTGTATCAGTTTTTGGTGAGCAGTTTTTACTGAAGCATTTCTGCCTCTGCATTTTTATAATTGTGTTTTTTCCTATTTTAATCTGTATGTTTCTCTGCTGTTTGTAACTATGCTTCCTGTTTTATACAGATGAACTTGGAAGTAATTTATGGTGATACAGACTCCATCATGATAAACACGAACTGCAACAACCTGGAAGAGGTTTTCAAGCTGGGAAACAAGGTTTCTATATGGCTTTTAATTTTTCTTTTTCTGCTGAAATGACTTGCAGACTACCACTGAAATCTTATTTGTCATATTTCATTGCTCCCTAAGTAATCGGTTTTTGTAATATGGATTGTAAAACATTACTGAAAATGGCAACATGTACACACAAATACTGTGAGATATGCAAACCTGTCATATAAACTAAAATGAAAATCTATCCTTTGCTGGACTTCTTATGCCTTAACCTACCCTAAGCATTCACCGAATCCCTGGAACAGCCCCCAATAAGTCACCTGCAATTAGACAAAATCCAGTATTGATCAATGTGTAGACCACCCATGTCATAGTAATTGCCCACTGAAGTCCATAGCACGGCATTGTTGGGAGGCATGATGTGTGTCATATGCTCTCCCATACCCAGTAGTACTGGTATTTTAACTGGGCAGTGGCCTGAGTTGGACCAGCGAGTTCTTGGAGTTAAAGGCAAATGTAGACACTGGAGAGTGGCTGGCACAGAATGGGAGGGAAGGTTTTGCTTTTAGTTTATTAGAAGTTCGCATTAAGGCTTACAGGATCTGGAAGTTTGACCAGAGAGGGTCAGTCGTGTATATCATCCTTCCTCCGCTAGTAAAGGTTGGCTAGGTAATGTGAGAAGTTAACACACACACACATTAATCTAAGTACAATTTTATAATGGCCATAGACTTCAAATGTCTCCTTAAAAATAGGTGGGAAAAAATGTACCCGTCCTCGGCCAAGTTACATGGTTGCCAAGGCCGGCTGTACTCTTTGCTCAATGCAGACGGCAGTACCCTACAGTTTCTGAATTCTGTCCTCTTTATAGAATGAAGGGCCTATCCCGCTAATTAGTTTAAACTATACTTTTGACTTTTGCAAGGATTTATGACATGACATTCTGTTTGTTCTCGGTTAGTGTTTTTAAGTATTAATGTAATGAGTTGCAGCCAGGCAACTAGAATTTTCAGCAGCAAGTTGGGAATGTAGTACAGGTTTCCTTTTTAATGGGTGGCCATGATTAGAAAAGCTTTTACATAGTATTTGAGGTTGAATAAAGACATTAGTCCATCAAGTCCAACCTATTAGGATCTCATTCTAGGAGTACCCGTACCCCTGTATATTACGGTCCCTTAAGAAATCGTCCAAAAGTTTCTTGAACAATTCCACATTATTTGCTGAAATCACCGCCTGTGGCAGTGAGTTCCAGACCCTAACTGATCTTACTGTGAAGAACCCCCTTCGCCCCTTGTGCTGGAATTTTTTTTCCACCAATTTTAGGTGATGGCCTCTAGTTTTTGTAACGGAGTTAATTTTAAACAGTTTATCGCTAATGTTGCTACCACCATTAAACATTTTGTACATGGAAATCATATCCCCCCTTAATCTCCTCACCTCTAATGTGAACATGTTTAAATTTAGTAGCCTCGTCTCGTAGCTCTGGTCCTCCATACCCCTAATTAGTTTGGTTGCCCTTCGCTGGACTTTTTCCAACTCAAGGACATCTTTTCTTAGTACTGGTGACCAGAATTGGACCGCGTACTCCAGATGAGGTCGAACCAATGATCTATAAAGTGGCAAAATTATAGACTTGTCCCTGCAATACATCCCCTTTTTAATACAGGACAAGACCCTGCTAGCTTTGTTTACAGCAGCCTGGCACTGCAAACTACCTTTCAGTTTGTGGTCTACAATTACCCCCAAATCCTTCTCCATTTCTGACTTCCCCAGCGGCATACCCATAATTGTATAACCCATTTGTTTATTTTTAATTCCAAAGTGCATTACTTTGCATTTATCGACATTAAACCTCATCTGCCACATTAATGCCCACTCCCCTATTTTAAATACTCTTACCACAGGTTTTTTTTTTTTTTAATCTGTCACCAGAAACACATCTGTATTGGATGACAGGTCTTTTCCCCACATCATTTTCTTATCTGGCACCATCACTTTTATTTTGTCAAGAAGACATTGAGGGGAATTTATCAAAACTTTATCAAAACTGGAGCAGACAAAATCTGCGGCAGCTGTGCATGACAACCAATCAGCTTCTCTCTTTTTCAAATCTAAACTGAAGAGAGAAGCTGATTGGTTGCCGTGCACACCTGCTCCACATTTTGTCTGCTCCAGTCTTGATAAATTCCCCCCATTATGTCTTATGTGCGTTGGCAACCTTAGATGTACAAAAATGTTTAGTCTGTTTTTTTTATTTTGTTTCCTAGGTTAAAAGTGAGATCAACAAATCGTACAAACTGCTAGAGATTGACATTGATGGAATCTTTAAGTCTCTTCTGCTGTTGAAGAAAAAGAAATATGCAGCACTCATCGTGGAGCCGACAGGGGATGGCAAATATACAACTAAGCAGGAACTGAAGGGTCTTGACATTGTCAGGAGAGACTGGTGTGAGCTTGCTAAAATGGCTGGAAAGTAAGTATAGTTTTTATCTGCACCGTTATTATACATGACTCAGTCTTGGCTTGCTTTTAGTAATCTTAATATGTGCTCCATTTAAAGAACAACTTTGGGGATTTGCACATCATCATTATCCGTTGCACAGTCATCGATTAACTTTTAAGAAGGAGGCTACGCATAGAGATAAAACTACAAAAAGGTTACTAATCGTCTTGCAAAAAACAGCAAATGAGCTGAAAAATTGAATACTCAAGTTTTAAAATGTGTCAGGTGGACAGAATTCATCTGGAATGTATGTAGTTGTTGCCATTGGTCTTTCAAAGGTAGTGCACGTTTTTTAGCATCAATAGGGGACATGAGCCTGTGGAGTGTAGAGTAGTGTGTGGTTGTAAGAGCCTGCAAGACTGTTGAGAATAAGCACTTGGTAAAAGGGAAAAAATATCCTTTGCATGTAATTCCAGTTTAAAAGCTGCAGAGCAGTGCTGTACATCGACAGTACCTAGGCACACTCTGTTCTAACCTGACAGGTGTCTGTCAGAACTTTGACATCATCTGAGAATTACAGGATTTCATTGATTGGGTCATCATTAGGTCCTAGGAACTTAAAAAAACTGCTTATCTGCCACATAGCACTAGTGAAAGAGGAAAAATGGACCAAGAGCAAATGTTGTAAGAGCTATATCGTGGTAGGGAGCCTTGACACTGCAGCAGTGATGAAACTTTAGATCGTATCATACCCTTGCCTTTGGGAGTTATGCCTTTTGGATGTCAGTCTTTTAATGGGAATGCAAAAGCTGCTTGAGCCAGGTCAAATGTAGTTTAGCAGGAGCTCAACTTCAGCCCATAGACTTTATAAACAAGCTGACCACACAAAATGGACCTAGAGTACTAAATATGATTAAAAGAATGGGCCTTGTTAGTCATTAAAGCTTGTAGTTTATTTGATCTCTGCAGAAAATGGCAGTTCATCTGAATAACATTTGCCATGCTATTAAAGGGTATCTATAAAGCTTATTTATCGTTATTTACGGCTTGTGCATTTTTCCTTACACCACAGTAACATTTCAAATGGCCTCCTTGAATAGAAAGATAATTTGGGAAAAATAACTTTCCAAACAGGCAGGGTTATCTCTGTGGAGACAGGACTTGCAGTAAACTCAAATTGCTTTGTGGTGCAGTGCTACCTCTCAATTTTATCTTGTAAAAAGCACCATAACAAATATGAAAATATTGAATGCTGTGTGCTTTTGTTACATCTCAGTAAGGGAGCCTAGCTTGACAAAGGATACACAGGCAGTAGGTATTCCAGTTTTAGTGGTATGAATCGCATGTTCCTTAAGTGTTGACAATGGTATGTCTGAGGTATTTTGCTCTATACAATAAGGATAGAATACCTCAATTGCTTATATTGTGTAATAAAGGGACAACCAAGCTGCTTAAGAAGCTTGAAATAATGTCGCCTTTAAATAAAGTGATAACGTATACAGCCCATTTTTTTTTTCTTCCTTTAGCTTATCACACTAGTTACTGAGGGCAACATCTCTCTAGCTCAATGGAAATGTACAAGAGCTGACACTTTGTTTTTCTTTTTTTTTTATATATATATATATGATGTATAAAATCATCACTTGTATTTCTGTAATGTGTTCTTTCTTCAGGGTTTCTGCAGGTAAAAAAAAAACAACTCTTTAAATCAGGTTTTCAATTATTGTTTAAATGTAATTTGTCCATAAAATAAAAATCAGCTATAACATCTTGTGTTGTATTAAACCATTAGAAGCCGCTTATCACTAAAAATAATTGTGTAACTATTACTGTAACATTGCGTTGCCCAGAGATCTGCGCACTGCTGCTATGATAGAGATTATGTCTATAGTTTAAGGTGTGATAAGTTTCTGATGGAAGCAGACATTCCTTGAATGAAATGCCACATACCGTTACTTAGCGCAGAGAAGGGTTGATCTTGACCACAGCTGGGTAATTGAAGCTTCTAAATGAACATCCTCTTAAAGTGACTCTGTCAAAAAGGGAAGTATGGGGGCTGCTGTTGCTGGCCTCCTGTTGCTGGCCTCCTGTAGAAAAAGCTAGTTTCCTGTCTTGTGTTGAACTTCTTTCATAGTAGGAAAAGAAGACAGCGGAACTCCGTTTGCTCTACCAATCCCTGTGCTCTACCATTCCCTTTGCCTGATGAAGGAACCAATTCGGTACCGAAATGCTGCTGTTCATTGTGATTGACATTCCAACATCAATAAAGATGGATTGGTAGAGCAAACAGTGGAGTGCCGGTGACTTCTTTTCCTACTACTGATTACTTGCTACACCATCCACAGTCACTACAGCACCCACCTGAGGACTATGGGTTCGGTCAGGAGTGCACTGTATTTGAAAGCTTGTGTCATAGACCTGTTTGGTTTTTTTGTTGTTTTTTTTTCTTCTTCTTCTCCCTTCTCCCTTCTTCTCGTATACCAATGAACTCCAGTAAACCTGTGCTAAGTGAAATGTGGAGACTGCCATTTTGACCACCTAATTCTAACTACTTTGGCCACTAATGAGTCATTGATCTAGAATAAACAAAAAGATTAGAAAGTTACTGTGTAGTCCTGATTCTCATTTGCATGCTTGATCCATGTCCTTAGTATTAGTCATTGAGGCAGCATGACATTCCATTACTTAGCTATTTCATTTAAAAAAACAAAACATGGCAGCCACTATAGATGCATGTTTCTGAAAATGTTGTGTGTTTTTTGCTGCTCATTATGTTCCCGGTAACCTTTTCTTTCATTGGGAAGATTGTGATGGATAGAACACCTTCTATGTTTTTTCTTTACACCTTTTATGCAATTATGTCATTTGTTTCTGATCAGCTTTTGTTATTCAATGTCGTCTTTCGTTTTCAGTTACGTGATCAGTCAAATTCTGTCGGATCAACCCCGGGATACCATAGTTGAAAATATTCAGAAAAAGTTAATGGAGATTGGGGAGACTGTGGTTAATGGCGGTGTACCTGTCAGCCAGTATGAAATTAATAAGGTAAAGTTTTGAGGGACTTTCCCAGTCCTCACCCTTTCCCATCATCTTCCAGATTTGATTGTTCATGTAATTTTTTGGCAAGAGTATGTAATATTTTCAATACGTTGAGATTTTACATAATTTTTACATTTGCCATCTATAAAATTATGATTTCTCCTTACTTTGATTTTCTTTTAATATTTTCCTTTCGGGATTTGTAATTTTTTTGTTTTGTTTGTAATGGCTCTTAAAATAATTTTTTATGCTAAGTTTTACTGCCAATCCTACTTGGCCAGACATCTGTTTGTCCTCAAAGGATCTGTGTTGGCTCTTATTCAGCATGGTAAGCATGTGACATGTTCCTGGGGAAAGTTGTATGACCTTCCCTACAGCAATAGCGGGCGCAATACGATGCAGTGCGTTCTGCCCAGAATCGGCCCGGAACGCACTGCATCTGGTGTGAACCTAGCCTAAGCCCACACACATCCCTAATTAACCTCCCTGGCGGTATGATTATGTCAGGAATTTTGTACCAAAAGCGGTACAATAGTTTGATACATAAGTGTAATCATAGCAGATTACATTGTATTGTGTGTATTCTATGTACATTACAACTTTTCACTTTTGAATTTCCCGCCTGCTGTGACGCCCGAAAACAAAAATAAAAGTCAGATGCCGGCTTTTAGTTTCATTTTCGGGCCGCGTACAGCAGAGGACGCCGCGGGCTCGCAGGGACAAGGTGAGTGTCACTTTTCTCTGCAGCCCCTAGTCTGGCTCGGGGTTACCGCTCCTAGCATTGAAAATTCAACCCGAGCCAGACTCGGGATTACCGCCAGGGAGGTTAAGTACCCATAAAAATGAAATTGGCATCACTGCACTGAAAAAAGTTTTAGTTTTTTGTGTGTGACTGTATCCTTAATGGTTCCTTGATTTAGGAGAACATCATTTAGGGTTGTCGACCTATCACAGGTTATCAGTGTCATGCATGCTTAGTAGTTTTGCTTCTCCTATTGATTAGCTTGAATACTCTTGATGTTTGTGCAGAGTTGTGCTATAACGGCAATAATAGATTCTAGCAAGCTTTCTGGTAATTGTTTACAATTTGTTCTTTCAGGCCCTAACAAAGGACCCACAGGACTACCCTGACAAAAAAAGCTTGCCACATGTACATGTTGCCTTATGGATAAATTCTCAAGGTGGAAGGAAGGTTAAGGCGGGGGATACCATCTCCTATGTGATTTGTCAGGTAATTTATTGGAATTTGCTTTTTCTTCACTGGTAGCCAAAGTAACTTAAGAAATTTTTTTTCTTAGCTAGTCAGATGCTGCCTCAATTCAGGAATGTATGTGTAAATTCAGTGCTGACTATTTGGGCAAGTATTCGCACAAATGCTCCCAATGCCCAGCCCAATACTGGAACTTTCGGTATCGAGAAGCCGGGGCAGCAAAACATTACACGCTGCCCAGCTTCTTGATTGGCCGAGAAGCCACCTCCGAGAAGCCTTCCCGGCCACTCAGGCGTGTAATGACTCGCTCCCTAACTTCCTGATTGGCCAGGAAGCCGTCTCCATGCTACCTAGTCACTTGGTGACGAGGAAACATGAAGCTGGCTTCCCGGCCAATTAGGAAGCTTCCTAATTGGTCTGGAAGCTGGCCAATGAGGAAGCTGGTCGGTGAGTCATTACCCGCCCCCCCGACTTCCTGATTGACCAGAAAGCCGGCTCCATGCTTTCTGGACATTCACATATTGGGCATTGGCACTGATGTGAATGTCCCTTGCAATATACAGGCTGTTTCAGGCATTCTCTTCAGTGGGTTGCACATGCAGTGCCTAGGTAAATGTAGCTTAATGATTATCTCTACTCTAATTCAAATGTTAAATCTTAAAAATAGGGCTGCAACAACTAATCGACATAATTGATTATAATCGATTATTGAAAAAGTTGGCAACTTTTTCAATAATCGATTAATCGGCTTCTGATCAGTTGGCCCTGTTCACGGCTCCACACACGCTGCGCGCCGCACCTTCTCCCCACCTCACGCTCGCCGCTGCCAGACCCGCCCGCCAGCATCCATGCTCTTCACGCCGCACCTCCTCCCCGCCCACATCCACGATCGGCACAGGGACGGGGGGAGATGTAGTAAGGAGGAGCAGGTGTGGGCGGATGACAGCCGCTGATAGGTCCGATCTCAGAAGCAAGTTGCTGGAAGACTGCTCAGGTAAGCCTGCACTTTCCCACACATGGTGCTCTATAATGTATTGCTGGGATTTGTATTCCTCTATAGCTGATGGTACATTGTGCTGTATATTATACAGAGCAATGTACCATCAGCTATAGAGGAATACAAATCCCAGCAATACATTGTACACTGTATGTATAATGTATTGCTGGGATTTGTTGTACTCCTATATAGCTGGTGATATTCTGCACTGAGCTGTATAGAGGACTACAAATCCCAGCAATAATACATTATACAGCGCAATGCGGAATACCACAAGCTATAGAGGAGTACAACAAATCCCAGCAATAGTACATTATACAGTGGTGCAATGCCGAATACCACCAGCTATAGAGGACTACAAAACCCAGCAACAGTACATTATACAGCACAATGCAGAATACCACCAGCTATAATGTACTATTGCTGGGATTTGTAGTCCTCTATAACCGGTGCCATTCTGCATTCATTGCTATATAATTTTACACTTTCCTTTTCACTATATTGCACACCACTATTTTTTTTTTCTTTTTCTTTTTTACTTCTACCGCTCCAAGCTTGCTCCTGTGATGGAGTGCAATCTCAATACAAACTAGTAGTCCATCACTGGAGACACTTTTAAAAATGTATTTTTTTGTTTATCCGATTAACCGATTAATCGAACTTAATAATCGGCTAACTAATCGATTTTGAAAATAATCGTTAGCTGCAGCTCTACTTAAAAATACATTCATATACCTTAACCATTGCCAAAATGTACCTTATTTGTGCATAAATTGGCTGTAGACGCTCAAATTATCTCTGAATTAATGCCGACGCTGTCCTTCCTTCTGGAGGGTGGCTACTTGTGTTCTCCATGGTCTCTGTGTATGTTGTAAAGTAGCCGCCGCCCCAAGCTCGCTCCTGTGCTGGACTACAATCTCAATACAAATGAGTAAACTAAATGTGAGATTGCAGTCCATCACAGGAGTGATCTTGAAGCGGTGACTACTTTACAACACACACAGGGACCATGGGGAACAAAAGTAGCCACCCTCCAGAAGGAAGGGCAGTGTCTGCACCAATTCAGATATTTGAGGATCTACAGCTGAGTGATACACAAGCTACATTTTTGTTAATCGTTAAGGTACTTTAATGTTTTTTTAAGATCTAGATCTACATTAGTGTCATTAAGTAATACAAGTCGGTTTTCCCCTGACCCTGACTGATTGCATAGTGAATGAAGAGCAGCACACTGAGCTCATGCTCTGTTACTCTGCTCTCCTCTCAGATCAACATGTTGCTTTTCACACTTCAGCACAACTGATTTGATTCTTGTGCTGCTTCTCTACCTGCCAGTCTAAACGTTGCTGTATAGTGGATTGCAAGAGGCTGATAACCAAGTCAAATCTTACATTTAATATACATTTAGTTATGTATTAACGATTAGAGATCTATAATGATTTGTCATTTGCATTCCATGGAGTTCAGCTTCATTTTTTTTTTTTTTTCATGTTCACATTTATTGGATCTTGTTTTCACAAACTTGAAGCAGTGACGGCCTTACTCCACTCATTATTTAGTATTCCTGAGTGCAGTGTGTGGGAATTTCCACCACTTTACAGACAGTTGTGTTCTGTGAAGGATATGAAAATCTGTGCTCACATCACTGGTCTTTCTCATCCTTGGATCGATTAGTAGTCACATACATGGCCATAGAAGAGAACAGTCAGCTCTATAGTGGATGCTTTGATACTGAAAAGTATGGTATAGCTCACATGGCCTAGGAATTCTAAACTGGCTCACAGTACATGGTGAAACAAGAGTTTCATTTGACCTCCCCAGGTGTTAATGTGTGGCATTGTTGCAGTTCTAACAACATGGTAAACAATGCAAACTCCTGGCATGTAATTGAACAGTTTTTTAATTCAAAGTGTGTCTCTGGTATAGGTGAGTTTTAAAAGGCTTGCTTCTTGGTGTCATCTACTGTAAATATGGCTTAGAGCATACTGTATTGTGAGCAGCAGCTTTCATACCACTTTTAACACAAGGTATGTTATTTAGGAGCCACTGTGAAGCATTTGACCATTTTTATAACTTTTCATTGGCAAAATCAGTGTTGGTTTCATTCAGAATGCACATTTATGTTTGTAAAGGGCTATCACTATGTTTACTCTGCAGTGTGCTTATGTAAATGCAAGGGAGGCGTATTCACTGCATGTGTATTGAAAAAAAACAGCAGGGGACCTATCTGAGTCTCAAATGGTCGCAAATGAGGAAAATTTCTCAACCAAATAACAGCCGTTTCTGACCACATAAAAGCAGACTGTTGGTGCCATACTTTATGTATAAGGAATCAGAATTTCCATGAAAGACAGACAGTGGGTACGTGCATGTAGACTGCTATTGGTGTAAAACTTTAGAGTAAAGTAACGTTATAAAAGAATGAGCATATAACAGCCATTCTGGTAAACATCAAGGACAAGCCAGTTTGATGTCTTTATGCCTGTACTCTAAACTTTCATCCGTTGCCTTGCAGGCCTCCAGTCATTACTCTGATCTTCCAGTTCTCCAAATCCCAGGAAATAACAGTGCTGGATACACCAAAAATGCAGCAATGCTTTGTTTCACTGCTAATGTGTGGATTTATGCCATCATCTGCCATGTCCAGCAGGAACCTTTGTTCTTTATAAAGCTGAGCATCCACAGATCACTGCTGTCAGATGCAGTGCAGTGATGTCGATTGAGAGGTTCATGAATCTTCACAAGGGCAGCTGTAAAATAAACCTGTTGTGAGAAATATGTAGGCTACCACTGCTGGCCTCTCCTTCTGAGGATGCCAATCGCCCCACTGTCATGTTGATGCATTGGCTTTAATACTTGGAGTCTCTTACCTCCAATAAGTATAGCGATAAGGAATTCTGGCTTTCCTTTGAAATGCACTTGCTGTAGAGTATTGCCAGTTATAGTTTTAGGCAAAATGTGAAATGCTAAAGTGTTTCGACATGTCCTTGTATTGTCCCTATAACTAACATCTATGCAATTGTAGCTGGTGGATTCAGGAAGCCAGAAATTAGACTGGGTGCAGCCAAAGGCCGGTCATAAAAGCCCCTGATGGGGGAATCCATTCCTTTGGCCTCATCCTAGTTCTACAGAAGTGACACTCAAAGCTGAATAGGGTTGACGTCACTGCCTCTGGAACGGTATACAGTCCATAAGTCACAGAAAAGCTATGTGCTTCACAGGATCAGTAAATTGTGCTTTCCCCCTCCCCTCCTTCCTCAGGCTTTATTCACACCATCTCCAGATCAGATCTGGATGCATTTCTGCAAACAAGGTCATATGTAGTTTTAATGCGTTCCAGCGCGGGTTTTGTCTCTGTTGGCTTTTAGGTACGTTCCAGTGCTTTCTCGTTCTATTGCATACACTTTTTGTGCGTTCTAGACCAGAAAACATGTGACATGTTGGACTTTTTTTTTTTGAAAGCCATGGAACTGAACGCAATGGTGTGAACTGCACTCAGGAAAAAAAAAAAACATTTGAATCTATGGGAATCTGTTTTTAGAGCAGACCAAAAGCGTTCTAGTCTGGATCTGATCTGGAGATTGTGTGAACAAGCCCTTAATGTTATATTACATTTAAAGACTGGCTCGGTCTTCATTGTGAAGGAGAATCGAGCAAATAAACAAGAGCATTTATGTATAAAATGTCATTCCTTACTGAGATCCTCATTGTACCAAGTAGTAGACTCTTAAAACTGTCAGATCAAGAAGTCTGATACTTTGGTTGCAATCTATACTGATATTTTTCTTCATTTCCTAGTCTTGCTGACCTATGTTGGACAGAATAGGAACTGAGGGTAAATCTCCGATCACACAGATCATATTTAAAACCTTACAAGAGGTTCTAACACCTTCTGATCCAAAGCTAATAAAGTTTTGACTTGAGTTTGGCTTTGATAGAAACTTCATCCAAAAGGTGGACATGTGTAACTAAATAAAATTAATCTCTTGCCTTTTTTTTTTTTTTTTAATGATTTCTTTAAACATTTTTAACCTTACTTTGCATTAGTTGGACAAACTTAAATGTGCTGCTCTTGTTACCATTTAATTATGGTACATATTATGGTTTTGAATTGATGCTGGTTTGATCTATGTGCTCCTTTTTAAATTTATATCAGTTTGATCTGATCAGCTATAAATGTCAGGCCCTTTAAAAAAAGAATTGCAAATAGATTATTATATCCATGCTTCAGCGCCTGTTTCTGACCTCACATAGTTATAGGAAGCATAAATCTGCTGTCCCAGTCTCTCTAAAATAGACCTTGTGTGTTTTGCTTCTTTCATGTAGGATGGGTCAAATCTTAGTGCCAGCCAGAGAGCATATGCTCCTGAACAGCTGCAAAAACAAGACAACCTTTCCATTGACACACAATACTACCTGTCACAACAAGTCCACCCAGTGGTGTCTCGAATCTGTGAGCCCATAGACGGGATAGACTCTGCTCTTATTGCTGCATGGCTAGGTAAGTATTAACATACAGTAAGAAAAATATATATTTTTCACTAAAAATTATAAAGATTTTATCTGAAATAAAATGCTTTCTGTGTTTTTGTCTGTTGACTTAATTTGAAAGTTGATTGCAGTTTCTAAACATCCAACAAGCTGATAGTTTGACCTCTTGCAGGTGGTCACAACATCCAATTGGAAGGAAACCCTAGGCATGTACATAGCAATGTCTGCTGACAGATCTGTTTTAATGATCTGGGAGGTCCTGAGTATTTAGATTTAAACGTTGTAGTTTACCATTCCCTAAAGAATAAAGTAACCCAGTACAGATTTCGGATGGATAGGGATGACCATCTTCCACATCTGTGGGCGATTGTGTTCCATGCACAGGAATATTTGGGTGATATTCTTGTCCTGTACGGGGCAATGGACTTATCATTGATAGGGGAAGACTAGATAACCTTGACCCCCACTAGGATTTACTATAGACATACCTAACAGTTCTTTGGCCTAAATATAACCTTTCCCTGAATAAAGCATTAGCTTGCTATAGTGTACATAAAACCCTGCATGTTGAGGAATACATAGCTTAGGCTATTTTATTTATAAATGTGTATAAATGGTAACCTTTCAGTTTGTGTGCTATTGATCTAAAGTTGTGATGATCTCAGAACAGTAGCTGCAACACGTTCATATGGCCAATGAGTGAATGAAGACCAGATCCTCTCAAATACCATAGACCATATTTAAGATTCTTCAGTATGTGTGAGCATTTTGACATCTGGTCATTGCTTTAACACAACACAGGTCTTCCCTTTCACTTTCTCTTGTGATCTGATCTTTTAGCCTCTATATAAGCCAAGAGGGCAAATAGTGTTAAGACGAAATATGACTAAACAGCCGAGTATTGAAACGTGGGTGGAGATTTGTGTATTCTTTGTCGTTTTTTTGTGGATCCCAACTAATCCAGTTGGTTTTTAGTGCCAGCTTCTAGTGTATAATTACACTAGTGAATGGACATCTCTAAGATGTGGAAGAATTTGACATTTTGGTTGTCATTGATCAACGTATTGCCTGTGGCAATCAGATTTCCACTGTCGTGATTCTAAATCATGTCATCAGATAGAGAATTTGATTGAATGATGATGGCCATCACAAGTTACATTAACAAGTAGGGCTACATTTTTGTCATGTTTTTAGTATGTTGCACTGTTCAGTCTATAATTAAATATAAAGACCTAACACACCATGTGCATTCTACAGATTCAGTAAAGAATAACAAGGTTGTTTTTAGATTGTTCATAATTGTGGGAGTTCAGCTGCTTTTTTTTTTTTCTCCTGGAACCTCGGATACAATTTCTACTTTCCTTTTTTTTAAATGGAACCTTATACTGTAATTAGTTACATTATTAATAATTATTTTGCTTGCCACCAGGTGGCAGCACTGTCCACAGCAAGTCATATAAGCAAAGCATTGTTCGGTGTTTGTCTCTGGTGCGTTAATTTTATGTCAGCTAGTAAGTGTTACACCATCATGTTAATTTACAGACTGATCTGGATAATATATATAATACCCTGCTACGCTAGGAAATCACAGTTCTTAGAAGTTGAGTATCTTCTACTTGTTTCTGTTGATGGAAAAAAAAAAAGAGTTTCTAAGGTTAGGTTAATAGAAATCGGTTTCCCTTGAGTTCTTCAGGTAATTGTTTTAACCTTTTTTTTTTTCCTCAGAAAAAACAAAACCTCCCTCCTTGTAAAACATCAATTCTGTTTTCCTTCTCCAGGATAGGGGATGAGATAAAAGGTTAGGCTGCTAGCGACGGTGCTAAATGATACAAGCTGCCATGATCCAGAGAGTAAATCTGAAATAATTAACAGGGCCCAATTGGCTTTGTCAGTGTCATGAAGTGATAATGGAGCTGGGTGCAGAAATGAGGTTTCATCTCGGCCAGTTCTCAGGGTCTTCCCTTTCCATTGTTAAATGATAGTTGCAGACCCCCTCCCCGGGAGCTTAGTGTTAAGATTTTGTTTGGCAAACTGGGGGCCAGAGAGCCCTATGGCAGGTGGATGCAGCCTGCATACCTTTAAGAGCCATTGACCCATAAAGCATTTTGGGAAACTAGAGGGCATATCATCGTCCTACCACCCCCTGCTGTGCAGGTTTAAAAAGAAAAGTCCTGTGTATGTTCAGCAATGAACAAAGAGGAGTACATTTTGTGTTCCTCTCTAAGGCAATAGCAGACTAGATTAGCAAAAATATAAATTTTTCTTTTTATACCAAACGTTCAAGACCTTCTAGAAGTGTCAGACTTATTAATTAATATGCTATTGTTTTTGTGGTATAACCCTGGGAAAGCCATCAGATGTAGTCTCTGAATGATCTGACTATTGTAAGCTGTGATTTGTGCTGGGTTAGTGTGCATTGCACATCCATCACTCATATACAAACTATACATCATATTGAGAACAGAGTAGAATACAGCAAGTATTCAAAACTTTCATGGTGTTCTTGAAATGAAGGGGTTTAAAAGAAGATGCTGTATAAACTGTTCTAATATGCAGGTAGATAATAAATGCATTTAAAAGAATTTGTACTTTTTGTAATGCAAAAAAGGTTGGGCAGATTAAAAAGTATTTATGACCAAAAGTGTACTATGTAAGCTGTTAATGACAAGTTAGGACACGTTGATGCAGTATTACTGCTGCTTTTAATTACATTATACAATTATTGCAGTACAGTGGAACACACAATGAGGCATGGCAAAGCAGAGCTAAACAGGGGCAGAGGCAGATTTTTAACAAGGATAGATCATGAGTACTGCTCAACTGCTCTAAAGTAGCATGGAGACAGAATAAAACCTGATCTCGACCACTTCTTAATTATGAGACCGTTTACAGTGAAAATCGGCTGCATGATCAGTAATAAATCTGTCTCAGGACTCTGCAAACTGTCGCACTTGGCTTCCCAGGAATAGATGCACAATGTGAATGATCGCGGAAACTTTCCTGAAGGAGAGGCAGCCTGATTTGTGATTAGACTGCTTGCTAAATGTGGCCCCAATGAGCATATTGTCCAAATTGCAATTGCGTTATTGTAGTGTTTGTTTTGAGGACTTGGTAATCCTAAAGTGTGTGCAGTTTAAAAGTTCCTGGAAAGTGTTAAAGCAAAAAACTGATGTACAATTCAGGAGCCAGGAAGCAGATGTTTGCATTTGCAACAAAGTAAAGGCCTGTATTTAGCTTTTAATAAACAGCATGAGTATTTCACCATGACAAATATATTTCCATAAGTCGCACAAGTCCAGAAATCTAATGTGAATCTAATGTTCACATTAGAGGTGAGGAGATTAAGGGGGGATATGATTTCCATGTACAAAATGTTTAATGGTGGTAGCAACATTAGCGATAAACTGTTTAAAATTAACTCCGTTACAAAAACTAGAGGCCATCACCTAAAATTGGTGGAAAAAAAATTCCAGCACAAGGGGCGAAGGGGGTTCTTCACAGTAAGATCAGTTAGGGTCTGGAACTCACTGCCACAGGCGGTGATTTCAGCAAATAATGTGGAATTGTTCAAGAAACTTTTGGACGATTTCTTAAGGGACCGTAATATACAGGGGTACAGGTACTCCTAGAATGAGATCCTAATAGGTTGGACTTGATGGACTAATGTCTTTATTCAACCTCAAATACTATGTATATTTTAACTTGAAAGTGTTAACTAGATACACAATTATGAGCATTGAGCTCAATGTGAAGACTACATTTTATATGAAACATCCCCCCCGCCCTATTGCTAGCTACTTAAGTTGACACATTAAATGAGGGGAAAATACTTTTAAAATCTTGATGTGGAGACTGTGTCAAGAAGAGAGTCAGTCTTTGATTATCCATTTGTTGCCTATTTATGTCGCTTTCACACACTTAGCATCCAAGCAAGAGATTTTCTACCAATTAACACCTTTTCTTACACCACCTTGTTCAGATTGGTGGAATATGCTAATTTCCTGACTTTATGTAGGATTGCAGTTGTACACAGAGGTTTCAGTTGCCACAGTAAAGTATGACATGTGAGTTTCAAGATTTATTTTAAAGGGGATGAGTGCGTGTCGTCTTATGGGGTCATTCCACCCAAAATGTGTTTTTGTTTTTTTAGGTACAGTGAATAGAACCAGTGGACCTTTACACACAATTAGGCTTGAGTTATTGTCATAAGTAAAAAAAACTCTGTAGTCTATAAAATTTTTGAATAATAAGACTGACAAACTAAATAGGGCCATCCTGTACTTAAAACATACATTGAAGTTAGAATGTGTAAATATAGAATGGGAAAATAACAAATAAGGCCACTCTGGTACATTTCTTAGAATATATTTAAAGTCTAAAAGCTACTAGTACTGTGCTACAATTCAATGTTTCTAATGTGAACAAACATCATGTAAATTCGATTAAAATGTGCAAACACTTTTTGTACCATAGTGCTTGCTGTTGAGTCTACGTGCCACTATTTATCTACCTACTTTCCTTCTTTGGCTATATACCTCCCACAAAGTGGACTGTTTGTTGGGCAATCTGATAATTCCAGTGTGAGCAAATTAGGGCTGCAACAACTAATCGACATAATCGATTATTGAAAAAGTTGTCAACTTTTTCAATCGATTAATCGGCTTCGGATCAGTTGGCCCTGTTCACGGCTCCACACGCTGCGCGCCGCACCTCCTCCCCACCTCACGCTTGCCGCTGCCAGACCTGCCCGCCAGCATCCACGATCTTCACGCCGCACCTCCTCCCCGCCTCACACTCACCGCCCGCCCACATCCACGATAGGCACAGGGACGCGGGGAGATCTAGTAAGGAGGAGCAGGTGTGGGCGGATGACAGCCGCCGATAGGTCCGATCTCAGAAGCAAGTTGCTGGAAGACTGCTCAGGTAAGCCCGCACTTTCCCACACATGGTGCTCTATAATGTATTGCTGGGATTTGTATTCCTCTATGGCTGAATATACATTGTGCTGTATATTATACAGAGCAATGTACCATCAGCTATAGAGGAATACATTATACACTGCTGGGTACTCCTATATAGCTGGTGATATTCTGCACTGAGCTGTATTGAGGACTACAAATCGCAGCAATAATACATTATATACAGCGCAATGCGGAATACCACCAGCTATAGAGGACTACAAAACCCAGCAATAGTACATTATACAGCGCAATGCAGAATACCGCCAGCTATAATGTACTATTGCTGGGATTTGTAGTCCTCTATAGTCGGTGCCATTCATTGCTGTATAATTTTACACTTTCCTTTTCACTATATTGCACACCACTATTTTTTTTCTTTTCTTTTTTACTTCTACCGCTCCAAGCTTGCTCCTGTGATGGAGTGCAATCTCAATACAAACTAGTAGTCCATCACTGGAGCCATTTTTAAAAATGTATTTTATTGTTTATCCGATTAACCGATTAATCAAACTTAATAATCGGCTAACTAATCGATTTTGAAAATAATTAGCTGCAGCTCTAGAGCAAATGTTAGTACGGTAGTAGTTTGTGTATAGTACTACTTGCTATAATTCACTGTACTTTCCATACTCTAAAAAGAGTACCATAGAGGACAGCTTGGTTTATATTGTTTTACACTTTCTATTCATGGCCATTTCTTGGTATGTTTTAAATACAGCAGGGCACCATTTATTAGAAATGCTTAATTAAAAAAGTTATGAGACTACAATAAATTCTGGTTTTATTAGCATAACTTTGTATCCAAAAAACACAGAGGCCATCATATAGAACCTACCAAGTTTTTTTTTCTTCTTTCTGTTATTTTAGATGCTAGAGGGTTAAAGGAGAATTATGGGTTAAGTAAAAAAAAAAAAAAAATCACTCTTCCCCATAATTGAAGCCGACCTGCGACACTGAAGCAGTCACAAGTTGGCTCTATCGATCAGGATTTTCAGCGAACACATACTCTCAATCGCTGACATCCCGATCCTCTCTCTGCAGAGAGAGGTCACCGCTCCCCACAGAGATCCTCCTCCTTCTCCCCTCCTCCCCCAGCATTGACTGGAGGAAGGGAGGGGGGCGGGCACAGCTGGCTCTGCCTCTAGAGAGGCAGAGCCAGCTGTCAATCAGCCAGCGGGGTGGATCTAAACAGTATTGTTGCGATCTTTCCGTGCTGCGGCACGGTTCTGTGCTGCAGTTCTTCTGTGACCATTCTAGGGAGACCCACTCTCCCTTACGTTATGATGAGTGCATCTGGTAAGTTAGTGTTCCAACAACAACTTGTTTTAGCTTGTATAAGTTTGTTGAGGACGGTACATTGTAAGGTCCTTCAAGAGACTTGGACAGATGAGAAGGACTGCTATTTTGTGCAGTCTGTAATAGGGCTGAAACAACTAATCGATAATGAGAATCGTTGTCTCCTCTTCTGCCCCGCCCCATGCCTCCTCCTCCTCTGCCCGGGGCCTCCTCCTCCTCTGCCCCGGGCCTCCTCCTCTGCCCCGGGCCTCCTCCTCCTCTGCCCCGGGCCTCCTCCTCCTCTGCCCCGGGCCTCCTCCTCCTCTGCCCCGGGCCTCCTCCTCCTCTGCCCCGGGCCTCCTCCTCCTCTGCCCCGGGCCTCCTCCTCCTCTGCCCCGGGCCTCCTCCTCCTCTGCCCCGGGCCTCCACCTGCCTCAGCAGGTAGCTGTCATTCCTCAGTGAAGTGGAAAGGTGACACTAATAGACCCCCTAATGTCACCTTAAAGAGAACCTGTCATCTCAAATGTGCTATCACATAATGGGTTTGTGAGCCCCCCAATGCAATAGCAATGAAGTTAAATAAAAGCTAAAATAAATACCCCTTAAAAAGTTTAAGGTCTCCCGGGCCCCGCAAGCGTGTGCATACTAATGGAAACGCAAGTCGGGTGCACCTAAGTATGAAAACGACGATTGCACTATACGTCAGGTATAGCTGCGTGCACCAGAGTGAGAGCAATCATTTTGCGGCCATTATTTATGGTTATCTCTAAACTGATGGCCGGGCTTTTATTTATTTTAAATAAAAGTTTTTGGCCATTTTTTGGAGTTTTACCATTCATATTTTAAATCCAGGTAACTAATTTAAATGTCTAATATAATACAACCAATAAATAAAATATAAAAAAAGTGGGGAAAGTAATTTTTGGTTTTGGCCTGACAAATTCTGATGCAGTATGTGTGGTGTGGCACTCCAAACACGCAGTGTGATCGCCCACGCGGTACTGCAATTCCATGCGTTCCAGTGCTGTGCGATTGCAAAAAAATGTGCATACCGTTTTATTCTGAAAGTAAACTTTGTAACACTCCATTTGTGTATTTCATGTTAAATAAAAGATGATTTTTTTTTTCTTTAACCGATTAATAAAAAAAATAATCGGCCAACTAATTATGAAAATAATTAGTTGCAGCCCTGGTCTGTAAAACACAGCAAAATACTGTATGTTGGCAATATATAAATAATAGAAAAAAGATTGGAAACCACATATTAAAACAATTGCCATTCTGTTTGATTGCGCTGTTATTGGAGAGACAAAGCAAGCAATAGTTTCCATCTGCTTTGTGGAGCCTACGGTGTCCCATGGATTCCTTTGTTTGTTTATGAGGAGCGCACACTTTGATTTGAGGAAATCTGGCAACTCTACTATGATAGGTCATGTGATTGGGCTACTACCTTAATATCTTGTGTATCTGCCAAGAACTGGAGTTGCTTCCCCCTTGGCTACCAATCTGTATTTCTTAACCTGAAATTTTGAATCTGAGTGGCTGTGGAGCAATGTCTCCAGTTCTTAGTAAGAACATGTTAATGCATATAAACACCTACCTCTATGTTCTGTCACTTTGTGTTAAAACACTTATTGAAGGAGAACTGAGAAAAGGAGCACCACTCCTCCACGTTTCAGCACCACTCCTCCACGTTTCAGCACCACTCCTCCACGGAAGGGAATGAGCCCGGTGCTTGGGCTGGAGCACGTCCTCGATCCAATATGAGCCCATACAAACAGAATGAAAGCTAGCCGCACGCTGGATTTCGCTGGGATAGTTTATTGAAACTTGATCTCTATGACTAATCCCATGATTGGGTCAAAAGCGTCAGAGGGGTGGACTTTGGGTGGGACACCAGTAATGTGGTACAAGTTTCAATAAACTATCCCAGTGGAATCTGGAGTGCGGCCAGCTTTTCTTTTGTTTGTATCAATACTTAAGTCTTCATGCCCTTGGGAAAACGCGTTATAATATTGGTCATTTTTTAATGGTAATTTTTGTCACGTTCAACAGTAAAATTTAAATGTTGTAAAATGGTGTTAACTAGAGGTTTTATTTCACAATCAATGCAAAAAAAAAATTAAAAGCCACAACTTGTGTTAATATACCCTTAATGTTTTTTTCAAGTGCTGTTGCTATATGATCAGACGTACTGCAGAACATAAAAACGAAATAACCAACTCAATGGAAGAAAAAAAAATACTTTACTGAAATGAATATTCTTGGTTGTATATGGTGCTATTTTTATCACCAATGTTGCTCCAGATTAGCCTTCACACTTGAACCATTATTATGCTTTCATGTTGTATAATGCTTTCTGTCAATACACTGCATAAGTAATATTGCGTACTAGAGAAACATTAGCCATTCAATACTCTCATAAAAATCCTCAATTAAACAAGTGGATATTGCTTCTCATTGGTTTCTGACAGTGAGAGCGTAAAGCACTTGGTGATTGGCATGTACTCTGTGTAACATTCTACACAAATGCCTGCTCTAGACTTAAATGATCGCTTATACTCAGTTTAATTAGCTGTGATTTTCCTTTGTAAATTTCAGTAGGAAATCCTGTCCATAATCCAAACTCAGTACATGAATAGTGTAACTGTTAGAGAAACCCTGTCTGTCGCTTTTATGTGGGCAGTGCCCAACTGGCAGCCTGAACATGTAAAATTCCTGGCCTTCCCCTGCAGCCCCATGTGTGTAAAATGTGACAGCTCTCCTCATTTTACAAACATCAGAATAGTGCCAGCGAATGCAGCCAATCCTAAAACAGTAGCATAACTTGAAGGTAAGACGTCTTTTTATCCCCTACCTGTAGAAAATCAGAACTAAAAATACTATACGCATGCAGTTGTGTGTATAGGCATGTACATGTCTGTATATGTGTTAGTGGGGAAAAAAAAGGGAGGGTTTTTTTTAAAATTCATTTATATCATCTTGTAGAGAGAACTGTTATCATTTTGACGTTAGATGAGTGCTCTATGACAAAACATAAAACTTATAAGTGGATGAATAAGTTTTATAAGCATATAGTGTAACACACACACACACACACACACACACACACTCTGATCTGTCTGATAAGTTTATGTTCCCTGAAAATCTTTCTCTTCTGATAGGACTTGATCCATCACAGTTTCGGGTTCAGCATCACTATCAGAAAGATGAAGAAAATGAAGCTTTGTTGGGAGGTCCTGCTCAGATAACCGATGAAGAGAAATACAGAGACTGTGAGCGTTTTAAGTTCTGCTGCCCCAAATGTGGAATGGAGAACATATATGACAATGTTTTTGATGGCTCGGTTTGTATAGTTTTACTTTGCTTGTACACACCAATACACTTATTCCAGTTAGTTAGCACACTTGAATATGCATGTTCGGTTTTTTTGTTTTTTTTTTACATTAACTTTATTTGCCTTTTCACTACTTATTAACTATGAAATGAAACTGTTGTGGAATGTTTATTTAGGGCATAAACTATATGATCCAAAATCTCAGGCCATGCTTTATTCAGACGAACATTACATTGTGCACTATACCGGCACTGTTTACAGTGCACCAAAATCTACTGTCCTCCTGTGGCCCAAAACTCAGCATATCATGGGCTATTGCATGCTATTTGCTGACAGTTCAGAGCTGTGCTGCAGCCAGATCCTGGCAATATTATTGGGATCCACATGTTGACAGCTGACTGCCTATCTAAAGCCAGCTGTGCCTGTCCCTTCAGTCAGTGTTGGCGGAACGGAGATGGGAGGAGGGAATCCCTGCGGGGAGTGGTGACTGACAGCCACTGTTCTCTGCAGGGAGTCAATCGGGAACTGAGCTATCGGCGGGATGTTATCGCTCAGTTCTCACTGGCTATAATTATTGGGATGAGGTGTATTTCACTCTCCCTTTTAATACTTTAACCACTTGTTGACATGTTAAACACCCTTCCTGTCCAGGCCATTTTTTAGTGCTGTGGTAATTTGACAATCACTCCGTCATGCAAGACTGAAACCAAACTAATTTTACACTTTTTTTAGGCAGTTTTCTTTTGCTGGTATTTTAATAACCACTGGGATTATTTTTTTTGATTTTTTTTTTTTTTTTTTTTTTTAATGGGAAAAAAAGACCAAAACTTTCTGAAAAAGCTGATTCCCATGCTTTGCTATAAAACATGGCAAAAATAAAAGCGCAGCACAGTACCAAAACTCCTGAAATGGCCCCTTTTTGTAATGTAAGCACCATAATGTGACCTGTTTTTTTTTTTTTGACACTTTTTTGTTGTCGTTATTGAGGGGGGTTAATACATGTAGCTTGGTAATGATACACCAGATACGTTAAATGTACAGGTCACATGCAATGGGAAAATGTACAGGTCACATGCAATGGGAGGATGCAGAGTGGTTAATGTATAGCTCAGATCAAAGAAAGGATGGTGCTGACATATAGTGTGAAGCAGGGGTCTCAAACTCAATTTACTCAGGGGTCACTTGATAAATGTTTTCTTCCATGAGGGCCGCTCGCTAGATTTCATACTTTAAAGTAAAATGTAACTATATCCGGTAAGGTACTACGAACACTAATACACATACAATAAGGCCCCATTGATATCTGTAGGTTAAGGTGCAATTAGGAATTCCTGCGTCAGAAACATGCGTTTTCCTGCAGCAGGAATGCCTAATCTGGTGTTTACAAGGGGCATCTGTCACCCGTTCAAGTTAATGATCAGGTGACAGCAGCTGCATCTGAACGCCTGCCCACCACATGTAATACTATGCGATATGATTACATAAGGTTAGGAATCACTATCCCCAGACGCATTGATTGTGCATCCAGGGAGTGTTTTCTAACTGCATGTAATCATATCGCATAGCATTACATGTGGTGGACAGGCGTTTACATGCAGTTGCTGTCACCTAATCATTAACTTGAACGGGTGACAGATGCCCCTTGTAAAAGCCACATTAGGCATTACTCTTCAGGAAAACGCAAGTTCCTGATGCAGGAATCCCTAATTGCACCTAATGCACAGGTGTGAATGGAGCCTAATGCACTCACCCCCCATACACAAAAAAATACTACCCCTGCACAAAATAATGCATTCCCCCCATACACATAAAATAATACACACCCCTGTACACTTAAAAAAAATACCCCTGTACAAATAAAATAACACCCCCCCCCCCCCC